CTTTGACAGTAGATATAATTCTCCAAGTGACAGGCTGATGACTCTGATCTCACGTCTCTTTTCCAACCCCCACTTCCCCTCACTCCTGTCATTGCGTAAGGTCGAATTTCAGTCCCTATCCCCAGAGCTCACTGTGGTTTCGCTTCTCTTGTTGAACCAGGATTGATAGATATCATTTCCTGTTGATGCTGCACTCAGCACTGAAGATAGGTTTTGATAAAAAAATAAAGACGTAATTTTAAAATGTGGTGATATTTAAGCAGGTGAATCTGGACAGGACATGGCAAGGAGAAATTGTAAGATGGGAGAACAGTGAAGGCCCCTGGGGCTGGGGTGGTAGGGTTGGAAGGCTGTGGAGAAGAGAGAGAGAAATGAAAGATAAATGGTTTCTGTTTCCTGCTTTCACCAGGACCTGTCTCTGAGGACAACTTACTCATTCTCTATTGCTGTTGAAATGGTTTGTTGAACAATAACTTGGAACAGATGATGTATTCATTACCAAAAGAGAAACAGAATCAGAGAAAGGCGAGGACAGTGGAAAATAGAACACTGAGTAAAAGAAAGTCACACAATGGATTCCGTAGTCCAGATAGGACTTCTATGAATTCCTTCTGTGGCGCTAGCTTTATAGAACAACATCTTAGCTTTTTTGTCTTCATATCTGGGATCACAGAAGAAATATTTATTTGTTAAAACTACTATTGAGAATATTGTCTAGGCCATTGTCCATGATACTGTACATAGACATGCATGTAAATATTGTCATTTCAGACCTCAAAGATTGGAAGAAATGTTGACACTTCTAATAGTTTAGCAAATATTCATTTATAAGGCAAAAAGAAGTATATCTATTTTACTCTCCTCCTAGCCCTGACTGCCAGGAAACTCAAAGATATGTTTTCTGTTTGGATGCAGGCATATTCTTTAGAGCAAGCTGGAACCTGTACTTGATTCCTTTGAGACTCTGTAACACCTTTTGAAAAGCTGCTTCTCCTTTTTTAAAAATTAATTAATTATTTTTTAAAAAGATGTATCCATTTATTCATACAAGCACTGGGTACAGTCAGAAGCATGGGAGGGTGAGAGAATTCACCAGAGCCAGAGCGGGGAACAGAACAGGCAGACTGATGAAATACACTGCTGAGGGGAGCAGCAGGCGGCAGGAGAGGTCTGCCACACCATGTGGGACCCTCGCCAGCGGCCGGGGATCGAACCGGTGCTGCAGAGGCTGATGGCAGCCTTGCAGCCCAGCGTTCAACCACTGTGCCACCAGGGGAGGCCCACTTTTTTTTAAAAAAAGATTTATTTTTATAGATTTTTGCATACTGTGGTATAGGTCAGAGGTGTGGGGATAGGGGCGGGGGGAGGGGTGAGAGGATTCACCAGAGACAGAGCGGGGAACAGAACAGAAGGACTGACTGAAATACACTGCTGAGGGGAGCAGTGGGCGAGTCAGGAGAGGTCTGCTGTGCCATGTAGGTTGCTTCCTGGCGGGGGATTTGACTTGTGCAGCAGTGGCTGCAGATTGCTTCATAGTTTGCGTCTCAATCCCTTGGGCCACCAGGGAAGCCCACTAGCTCTCTTTTGATCAATACTTCTTATTCATTGTGGTCATAGCCTGCAGGCTGGAAAAGAGATCACCAAATGGTAGCTCAGGTTATTTCTGGGTGGTGAGAGTTTAAATGATTTATTGTGTCTTATTTTAACTTTCAGTGTGGCTTAAGATTTCTATAATGAGTAGGTTTATAAGATTTCTATTTTTTAATAATCTTGGCCTTATGAAAGTTGCAAATAGTACAAAGAATTTACATATTTCCTTTGTCTAGATCCCCAAATATTAATATTTTAGCACACTTGCTTTATCATTTTCTCTGCATGTGTTTTTTTCCCCTGAACCACTTGGAAGTAGGTTGCAGACATGATGTCTCTTTACCCCTAAGTATTTCAGGTATATTTCCTAAAAGCATGGAAATTCTCTTACACAAACTACAGTTATCAAAGCAGAAAATAAACACTGACACAACACTATTAGCTAATTTGCAGACCTTATTTAAATGTATTAAATTGCCCCAAATGTATCCTTTATAGAAAAGGCTAACATTGAGACAACTGGTGAAATTTGAATAAGGTCTTTAGATTGGATAATAGCATTACTACCAAAGCTAACTTTTTGATTTTCGTAATTGTACTATAGCAATTTAAGGGAATTTCCTTTTTTTTTTTTTTAAAAAAAAAGATGTTCACAACGAATTATGTAGGAGTAAAGGAATATCATCCCTGCAACTGATTTTGAAAATGTTCAGAGAGCCCATCAAATTGTTTTGTGAATACTGACAAACTGATTCTAAAGTTCTAGGGAGAAGACAGAATAGGCAACATGACACTGAAGAAGTAGAACAAAGTCAGAGGATGGACATTACATTATTTCCAGACTTACTGTAAAGCTACAGTAGACAATACAGTGTGGTTTGTGAAAAAATAAACAAATAGTTCTATGGAACACAAGAGGGCCCAGAAAGATTACCTCCCCGCCTGTCCCCAATATAGACAACTGATCTTTGACAAAGGAGCAAAGGCAATAAAATGGAGGGATAAAAGGTGCTGGAACAACCGGTCGTCTATATGCAAAAGAAATAAATACAGATTCAAATCTTCCCACAAAAATTAACTCAAAGTAAGTCACAGGCCTAAATGAAAAATGCTAAGTTCTGAAATTCCTAGAAGATAACATAGGAGAAAACCTTGCAATTAATAATGAGATTTTAGATACAACATCAAAAGTACAGTCATGAAAGGAACATTTGATAAGTTGGACTTTGTTAAAATTAAAAACTTTTGCTCTGCAAAAATCACTGTTAAGATCATGAAAATATAAGCCATAGAATGGAAGAAAATACTTGTAAAATACACTTACTAAAGGATTGTTATGCAAAATATAGAAAGAATTCTTAAAAGTCATCAATAAAAAAAACAACCCAAGTGATATATGGGCAAAAGGTCTGAACAAACTTCTCTCCGAAGATATAGAGATGGCAAATAAACATGTAAAAAGATGCTCAACATTGTTTATCATTAGGGTATTGCAAATTAAAACCACAACGGGACAGCACTTCATACCTATTATTGGCAAAAGTCCCCCAAACCAAAAATACTAAATGCTAGCAAGGCTGTGAAGAAACAGGAACTTTCATTCATTATTGATGGGGAGCTCAAATGGTGACTTTGCTTAGATCCTTCCATTTCAGAAGACAATCTGGCAGTTTCTTAAAACTAAACAGTGTTAACATACGATCCAGCAATTATACTGCTAAGTTTTTACTCGAATTAGTTGAAAACTTATGTGCATATAACCTTGCAATGTGGATGCCTATAGCAGTTTTATTCATAATTGCCCCAAATTGAAAGCAACCAAGATGTCCTTCATTATGTGAATGGATAAACACATTGCTATACCATATTTCATACTACGGAATATGATTCAGCAATAAAAAGAAATACATCAAGCCACATGATGACAAATAGGATCATTAAATTCACATTGCTAAGTGAAAGAAGACACTCTAAAAGGGCTATATACTGAACCATTCCAACCATGTAGCTTTTTGGAAAAGGCAAAACAACAGAGACAATAAAGATCAGTTGTTGCCAGGGGCTCAAGGGAGAGGAAAATGATGGACAGGTGGAACACAGGGCGTTTTCAGGGCAGGCAAACTATTCTGTGTGACCCTGCAATGGTGAATACATGACTTGAATTTACCAGGACCCACGTAGAACACTAGGAATGAACTCTAATGTTATGGACCTCAGTTAATTATTTATCAATTGGTTCACCAATTGTAACATATGTAAGAAGTTAATAAGAGGGAGATAATAGTGTGGGAGAGGGAGTAGCTGGGAACTATCTGTACCATCTGCTCAATTTTTCTGTAAACCTAAAACCATTCTAAAAGTGAAACCTACTGATTAGAAATTGTTACTTTTATGAATTTTAAATAATAAAATTTTAACTTTTAGTTTCTGTTTCAATGTATGCCAGTCAAAATTTCTAGAGTGAAATAAGTACATATACAAGAAATTTAGATACTTTAAAGTATTTTTGTAAGTTTCTGGCTTTTATGCTTCTGAAGTTGATAAAGCTTAAAATTGCATTAAGAATGAATTTTGGGATGTTTATCTATCTATCTATCTATCTATCTATCTATCTATCTATCTATCATCAATTAATCATCTATCATCTATTTACCTACCTACTTACTTATCCATTTTCCATTTGTTGATCTAGAGAGAGTATTAATATTTGTGGAGTCTGAGTGAAGTGTATACAGGAACCCCTTGACTAGTCTCTCAAATTGTGTGTGTTTGACATTATATCAAAGTAGAAACTTAAAAAATTACTCATACCTTGTAGATGTATAGGTTACTGAGTCAAAGATTCAAAACGAAATCTGGTTTGTATTGCATCTGAAAATCAAGCTTCATGCCTCCTTCCTCATGGTATCTGGTGTAGAGTAGAACAACATGATTCTTACTTCAGAAGTTTTATCCCAATAAACCGCAGACCCCTAGAGGGTTCACCCATATGGCATGCCCCCAAATGTTCTTAAGGTTTATCTCCCACCCAGTGGCAAAAAGTTGTCCTACTTTGTTGTTAGGTGCTAGCTCTTTTGAACCCACCAGGTCCAACCGGCATGATAAAACATGTAATGGATCAGTTTCTATTTGGGGCTCTTTCTAGATTATATTATAGCACTCTAAGTCTAGGGGAGCTGGCATAGCCTGAGGCAAGATAGCAAAGGTAAACTGTTGTTTCTGCTGCAACAGGACAGGGGAGGATGGGAGAAAAACATTTGCTATATCAATAATGACTCACCAGGTATCAGCTATGTGGATCTGATTCAGTGAAAATACCATCTTTGCAGTTCTTGCTGTGATCACTATTTGTCTGTGATCATCGTATGTGATAATCTGCAAGTGATTTGTGCACCAACCAAACAGGAGAGTTAACTGAGGTCATAGAAGGTATCTCCACTCTGCATTTTCAAGTCTTTGGTGGTGTAACTACAATATAGCAGTGTGGTAAGTGGCGGCTATCATCATTTTTGTTGTGGTGTTACTGTTTCAGCCAAACCAGGGTCAAAATTTTACATTTTCGGGGCCTCCCTGGTGGCGCAAGGGGTTAAGATGCAGCACTATGAAGCTATCTGAAGCCACTGCAGCACAAGTTCGATCCCTGACCAGGGAGGTGACCCATATGGTACAGCAGACCTCTCCAGACTCGCCCACTGCTCCCCTCAGCAGTCTATTTCAGTCAGCCTGTTCTGTTCCCCGCTCTGTCTCTAGTGAATCCTCTCACCCCCATACCTCTGGCCCATACCCCAGTTCTTGTATGCATAAATAAATAAATCTTTAAAAAATTTTTTTTACATTTTCTTTTGGAAAGTACTGTTTCATTGATTCTAAGAAGCACATTGTTTCATATGCTAAACGCTTTGAAATCAGAATCTGATAATAGTTGATGGTGTGTTATAGCTTAAGGCATCATTGATTATAAGATGCACCATCAGTGAAATAACATAAAAAAATAAAATGACTCCAAATGGAAGTTTACGATAAAGTTGAGATAGTAAAGGCCTCAGCATAGGGGTAAACGAAAAATATATGGAAAGATGGATTGAAATTGAGTTAATTCACAGAATTTCTATTTAGTTCTCTCATTACCTTTGGGTAGAAATGGATTTACAGGAAGTCAATGAAACTACAGCTTCTTCCCTTATGTGATTCTGCTAATATCTAGTTATAGCTTCATATGATCATATATTTTTATAAAATTTGTAGAAATAAGATGTTTTCCATTTTTTTTCATGATGACTCCAAATTGTATAAACTTTGGGTTCTGCCCCTGCCAGGGAACTCATAAAAATATGAGGCCATTTTAAATGAAATTTTCTGAGATTTTCCTAGTCTGTACAAGTAGTACCACAAACCTGCATAAGAACCAACTTGGTGTTCAAATGAAGGTATTTTCCTCCTTTTGCCCTGTGGCAAAGTTGAAACCTGCAACTTCTCTTCCTGTCCCACTCTGTGTCTTTCTTGCTCTCTCTTTTCCACATATACATCTCATTTTTTTCCTGTACTAAGGCCTTTAATGTCTCAGCTTTATCTAGGATCTCTAATTATTAGACTTGCATTTGGATTAATTTTATTTTTCAGTGGTATATCCAGTAATGGTGCATCTTATAATCAATGATACCTTAAGTTTCATGAACATTGTATATAAATACTATGAACTGGGTCCATCTAAGACAATTAGACTGGTTTGTGACATTAGATAACATTGCCCCCTAGAGGTCTCTCTTATAATCTGGGAGATTAGCCCCCTGTCTACTAGTGATAATTCACAAGTTTCATAAAACTCAGGAAATGAAACAGATGCCTGGTCATATGCCTTCATTTGCATAGGGCTGAGGAAAGAATGTGCATTCAGCCCAGATGTGGGGTTACTATCTGTTAAGGAACTGAAATGATCAGGAGTGAGTTCTGATGAAGTTAGATTGATGGATAGGCTATGAGACCTTTGGAAAGAAAAATCACCATGAGGGAGAGAAGAAACTGGAAGAGTGGTTCAGCTGAGTGAGTAGAGGTGAGAAGTGAGATCAAGGTAACCTCTGCTGATTCAGCTTACCTCTTCCAGGACTTGTGCAAATTAGGACCTTAAGGAAAGGAGAAAGATGTGGCATTAAGAGAAAGACCTAAGTCATAGCAGCTCAAAAACTTTGCTAGGACAACTCCTTACAAAAAAGTTGGTTATGAAAAGCAGTGCAGAGGGAGGATCACCTGTAGGAGATCTGTGAAACTACTGGAATGGCAGCCACTCTACTTACACCTGTGTGGGATACTCTGGAATACCTGCCTGCCAAGCATTTCAGATATACTCAGGAGATGAAAGCAAGACATCTCACAAATAAGATTGTAAATTGACCTCAACTATATTCCTAAGCTGGTCAGGCCAGTGGTGCATCTTTTTCATGATTATTCAACTTTTATCTGCACTAACCAATATGGCAGCCACTAGGCACTTATGGCTATTGAGTTCTTAAATATATGGTTGGTGTGACTGAGGAACTGAAGTTCAAATGTTATTTATTATTTTTTTTTAAAGATTTATTTATTTATTTATACAAGCACTGGGTACAGTCAGAAGCGTGGGAGGGTGAGAGAATTCACCAGAGCCAGAGCGGGTAACAGAACAGGCAGACTGACGAAATACACTGCTGAGGGGAGCAGCGGGCATGGCAGGAGAGATCTGCGTGCCATGTGGGACCCTTGCCGGTGGCCGGGGATTGAACTGGCGCTGCAGAGGCTGCAGGCAGCTTCGCAACCCAGCGCTCAACTGCTATGCCACCCGGGAGGCCCAAATGTTATTTATTCTTAATTAAATAAAATTTTAATTTAAAAATTGAAGCAGCAGAAAATATTTCTCCCACAAAACTTATAAGAAATATTTGAAGTGGTTTTTAAAAATATATTTATAAATTTAGAATTGATTTTCAACTTTTACAATACCTTCTTAAATATTATGTTAAAATGCTAATTGGCTAGAAGAGTTACTTAACTTAGACAGGTGTGATTTTGAAACTGGTATACTTTTTTTTTTTACAATTTATTTATTTATGATTAGAAGAATTGGGGTACAGGGCCTCCCCAGGTGGCACAGCGGTTGAGCGCTGGGCTGCGATGCTGCCCACAGCCTCTGCAGCAATGGTTTGATCCCCGGCCCCTTAGAGAGGGTCCCACATGGTGTGCAGACCTCTCCTGCTGTTTCCGCTGCTCCCCTCAGCAGTGTATATCGTCGGTCTGCCTGTTCTGTTTCCCGCTCTGGCTCTGGTGAATTCTCTCACCCTCCCACGCTTCTGACTGTACCCAGAGCTTGTATAAATAAATAAATAAGTAAATAAATAAATAAATGTTTAAAAAAAAAAAAAGAAGAACTGGGGTACAGGCCAGAGGTGTGGGAGGTAAGAGGATTCACCAGAGACAGAGTGAGGAACAGAACAGGCAGAGAGACCGAAGTATACTGCTGAGGGGAGCTGTGGGCCAGACAGGAGAGGTCTGTCATGTGGGAATCTCCCTGGCTGGCTGGGAATCAAACTGGCCCTGCAGAGGCTGCAAATAGCTTCACAGCACTGCATTTAACCTGCTGCACCACTGGGAAGGCCCGAAACTGATATACTTTTATGGAAATAACTGAATGCCTCAAAACAGATGACTGGATCAAGAAGTTGTGGTATAGGGCCTCCCTGGTGGTGCAAGGGGTTGAGCACAGTGCTGTGAAGCTGTCCGCAGCCTCTGCAGTGACAGTTTGATCCCTGGCCAGGGAGCAACCCACATGGCCCAGCAGACCTCTCCTGTCTCGCCCGCTGCTTCCCTTAGCAGTGTACTTTGGTCTATCTGCCTGTTTGGTTCCTCGCTCTGTCTCTGGTGAATCCTCTCACCTCCCACACCTCTGCCCTGTACCCCAGTTCTTGTATGCATAAATAAATCTTTAAAAAAAAAAAAGAGAGACTGAAAACCAGTGGGTCTCACTCTCTAGGGGAAAAAAAAGAAGCTGTGGTATATACACACATTGGAATACTACTCAGTGATCAAAAAAGATAAACTCATGCCATTTGGGCAACACGGATGGGGCTGGAAGGGATTATGCTAAGCGAAATAATTCAGAAGGAAAAAGCAAAATATCAGATGCTCTCACTTATAGGGGGAATATCGGGAAACTGAACAAAGGAGCAGGAAAAAGACAAAACTTGTAGGCGAACTATAGATGTGAGGCATATAGCAGGGGAGGGAATGAGGCAGGAGGTCAAAACAGGGGAGGGGAGAGCACAAGGGACTACGGTGATGGTCACAGGTGCCGTGGTGGTGGGAGAATTATGGCGACTACATGAGGGGAGAAATCAAATATGGTTTCAAAAATAAACAATGATGTAAGAAAATAAAAAAAATGAGGAAAAAAACCTGATATGTTTTTGCATCAAAGTCAAATGAACACTTCCAAAAAAGAGAAGCCAGTTTTGTCAATAGAGATGTGACCATCAAGGAAAAGAAGTTTTGGCCCTCGATTTAGTCATTGGAAAACTTTTCAGTACCTATGACTTGCCCAAAGAATTTTTCTTCTTCCACTTTCAAAGTTCCTTCTAAAAGGCAATCTCCATTCCCAGAAGGACACCGAAAGCTTGACTCCCCATGGTGTGAATTACATTTCATTCTCAAGAGCAGAAGATGGAGTAGTTCCTCCTGGCCATGACAGGGAACTTTTTTTTTTTGGCTGACGACTGTAGCATAGCACATCTATCTATACTGGGACCTACTCTGGTTCCTGTTTACCTTTTGCTCAAAATAACCAGCCTATATAATCCAATTAAACCAGTTGCTTCAGCTGAGACAATTGTTTGCTTTATTTCTTCACTCAGCTAACCGATTAATTTCTTGAATGTGAGTGGACAAGCACTTTTCTCCAGAACAATTATTCATTGTTTTTCTGAAATCCAAATTTCAGAAAATGCCAAATTCCAAGTGTCCAAATTCTGGGTATCCTGCATTTTTATCTGCTAAATCTGGCAATCCTAGAAATGATGCTAGAATTTTCCCCCAAAAGGCACCATCCCATCCTTTCTATGCCATTTCTTAAAACAAAAAAGAAGGTGGAAAGGTCTGAAAGAATGTTGGTGGGGGTAGTGAGAGATAATCAGAGAGGAGCGTGGTGCTTGATGCTTCTTGCTGAATCATCTTACTGAAAATTAACAGATTAGATCTGCATGTCTATTTTTCATGATTTTGACAAGAAAATAAATTATGTTAAGGGGTGTAGGGTAAAGAAAACCGTCAGGCTTTTCTGCCCTCCTGCCATCAGGATAGATGATGGATCCCTGCGGTCCTGAATGCATGCCTGATGGCGGGCACCTGGAGTAGGGTGTGGGCATAGGTAGATGGGATTCACCTGGGCTGAGACTGGGCTTTTAAGGGCGGCGTCACGGGGATGCCAGCAGCAGCAGAAGCCAAAAGAGAAGCCAAGAGAGAAGCAGAGAACGCTGGAGAGCCCAGATAGTGAAGACTTGTTGGGGGCTGGGAGGCCTGCCAGTCTCCTGGCCACCCAGCACCCCTGCCTGTTGGTACCAGGTAAATCCCAATAAAAGACCTGCACAAACCACTGAGGGCTCTGACTCCTCCTTCACCCGGTCTGCTGGATCATAGAAAACCTGCTCTGTGGCCATTCCTGACCTTACTCGGGGACATGCAAACTGTAATGTGCTGCTCTGCCTGCTTTGCTTTGTTTCTTTTCATGTGCACACTGAAAATTCCCAAAGAGATTGCAACATCCACCAGGGCAGACACCATGCCTGCTTTTCATGGGTATTCCCAAAGCCCAACAAAATGTGCACCAGAGGTGCTCAGAGTGTTATAGATGATAATGATGGTGGATTTAAAGAGCTTGGTGTAAAATATGTTGGATCTGAACTCCAGTGAATGTTCTAGTACTCTCATCGGGAGTTTGTTGAGCTCCAGAGCTAGGCCAGGGGCCAGTGGCTTTACCTGGTTAGGAAATCGGGTCTGTCTGTTCTTTAGAGGTGCATGGAAAGCCCTTCTGTTTGGCTTCAGAGCAAATGTTCTGTCCTTGAAACCAACACAAGCAGCAGCCTCCCCTGCCACCTGTCAGCGAATGGCTGCCAGAGAGTAATTGTGCTGGATGTTGTGAGAGGAAGCTGGAGTTAAATAAGGCCCTGGAGGAGTCAGGGGGCCCAGCAGTGCCTTTTCTTACCTGATAATGAAGCCTCATTAGAAACAGCAAGAAACTGTGCTGAGCATGGGAAGCACCAGTCTGCCCTGGTTCTTCCTGCCAAAGGCTGATTAACTTAATGACTTAAGACAGCTGCTCTTTAAGATTAGGGAATGCAGGAGACCCCGTGTGCGCAGACGGCACAGCGTGCTGTCTGGTAGAAATCCACTCTCCTCTTTCCAATGAGTGAGACGGTTTCTACGTCCAGGAAAACGTGTGGCCATTCAGACCCAGAAGTACTTCCTTTTGATGACTGACCTTTCGGGGCCCTCCAGCTGTGTTTAGGTTAGGGATTTATGTCTTGTCTGGGCAGGGGTGAGGGAAGGGGAGGAGGAGGGGAAATCATAAAAAAATTAATAACAAGAAAGAAAGAAAAGAAACAGACCTCATGCGCTGTGCAAATTAATAACAAGAAAGAAACATACCTCATGTACTGTGCATCCAGCATAGCTGGGCCAGCTGCACACTCTGCTTTCTGGGGGGCCCTTGTAACTAGTGTTTCAATTATGGGCAGCCCTAAAGTGTGCAGCTAAAAAGGAGATGGATGCTTTATGGAAATGCAGCATTGGGTGGTGTCCTTTCTATTTCTGGGCCTTAATAAAAGGGAATTATGTAAAGGTGTTGTGCAAGCTGTAAAGAGCTATTCTGCTCACATGACTTATTAACACAATTCCTTTGATCCCAGAAGTCAAAAAGAAAAGCCAGTTGGAGTGATTTCAACCAGGAGGCCCCATTTTTTGCCTAGCTTCTTTTTAAAGCCTGTTAAAGGGTTAATAAGGTTTCTTTTGTTTATATCTGCCTTGGTATGCTGGTATTTGGAACCCCAGGTGGTATGTGTGTGTGTGTCTTCAAACGTGCCAACATTGGACACATCCCCCTGACTGGGGGTGGGGGTGGAGGGGGGAAGACCCAGCTTGGATATTTTGGTCTGTACTGCTGTGTGACAGGTGGACTGACAGAAGCTTGAGTGAAGAATTAAGAAATTAAGGCTGGGCTATTTTCTTGGTACGTGTGTGGTTTTGGAGGCACTGAGAGCCTGTGGTAGGACACAGGTGGTGGTTTCAGTTTTAATCAGAAGGCAGGGGAGTCTTGCCTGGGTAGGTGGCAGATGCATAAACTATATTTGGCTGGCCGGGGCCCTGAGAGGGCTTAGGAAGAGACCAGGAAGAAAATTCTGAGGTGGCAAGAGCGGTAGATGCCTACAGCCTAATTAATCCCCCGCGGAGTTAAATTGAAGTTCCCTTTAAACTGACAGAGAGGCGCTCTGCCAGTAGCAGCAGAGCGTGGGTGTCTGCGCATAAACCCGCATGCAGAAAACATGAACAAGGTCTGGGTGCTGTGATACCTGTGATTGTGATTACGTGCCATTAAGTACCACCCCATTGCCTCTCTATCAAGAATGGAGTTTTTGCTCCAAATGATGGCAATCTTGCATGTCATGAGGGCAAACTGTACTTTGTCATCCTCAAGGACCCTTCCAGAAGCCTTCAGGAATGGATCCACCAGCACAGTCAGGCAGGTAAAGTGATATCCATCTGCTAGGGAGTTGAGAGTGAGAGGCAGGCAGACAACCATAATGCATTTATTTGGAGAGGGACAAGGAAGGTTGCTCAGGCCACAGACTACTTCACTTAAGGCAGAAGGTCTCTCTCCACTTCCAGGTAGCTTTTCAGCTCAAGCTCAAGCAACCAGAGAATTCAAAAGGAAATCCAGGCCAGGACAAAACTTCTCAAGGAAATTTTGCAGGCCACTTGGTAAGGAAGACAGCATTATCCTCATGAAAAGAGGAAGTTGCTATTAACTGACAAAAAATGTAAATAAAAAACCAAACAAATAAAAAAAAAATTAGTGAGAGAAGTCCTGGGTGATCACTTGGTAAATATACACAATAAGATTATAGGAAAAACATAGTCTTTCCTGGAAAGAATTTTGCCTTTTAAACAAAGTTTGGGTTTCAATCTCTGCTCTATGGCTATCAGCTGTGCAACCTTGGGTAAAGGAATTAAGCTCAGTGAGGCTTTGTTTTCTGTCTGTAAAGTGGGGGTAATGAGGTAATCCTGCTAGGGTTTTTGGGAGAAATGAAGATAAGAAACAGCTTACAACTGTGTAGCCACAAAACAGGCATTTGTCAATGGACTTCTATCCTTGAAGTAAATTCAGCCTAACTTGGTGCTTTTGCATTTGTTTAAAAAGGTTTTGTGTATTTATTCAGGTGTTCATAGGCATCTGGAAAAATTAACTTTGTTAAGAGCATCTAGCTTTTATAACCAACATAGAAATCAATCCAATGAAAAGGCAGTTGGAAAGGTGCTGGGCGACACGGTTTTCCATTTGAAGGAGTGAGGGTTAGGTCACACCCATGTGACTCTGCTTTCTGAGGAAAGAGGTGTTACAGAGTTCACTGGACAGAGCCACGAGACCTGGGCTTCCATCCCAGGCCTGCCTCACCTCCCTGTCAGGTCAAGGACAAATCCTTCCTGCTCTGTGCCTGCGTGTTCTTTCTGGAATTAGGAGAAGTCAGATTATATACTCACTAAGTGGTTTCTTAGAGCTGCTCTTATTCAATGTGTGCTATAGAAGGGAACTTGGAGATATGAAGGTATAGAACTTTGATAGAAAAGTAAAGGACTGGATTTCTGTAAAGAGCTGGCAAGGAGGAAGCTCATGTATATGCTCCTGGACTCATGTATATGTATATGGACTCATGTATATGAGTATGAGCTCATGTATATGCTCCTGGGCTCATGTATATGCTCCTGGAATTCTTGCCCACTAAAAAAAGACTGCATATATCCATGTAGGTGCACATGTATGCACAAATGTACACACACATACACATGTGCCTAGCCTCTTGCCTGTGAAATAGAGCTCTCCCAACACCCCTTGCAGGCAGGTATGGCCCTGTGAGCAGGCTCTGGTGACTGAGATACAAGGGGATGTCCATTAGAGAAGTTCTCAAGACATTTTTCTTCACTGACAAAAAAAGAGGCCCGCAAGGAACGGCCTTTTGCTGTTCCTTCTTCCTTTCCCTTCTTGCTACCCAGGGCTATGATGTCTGGAGCTGCAGTGGACATGTGACAACCATGCATGACAAAGATGGAGATGAAGAGGCAGACTATCAGAGATAATAGAAAGATACAAGGTGCTTGGGGGCTTCATGAAGTCACGGAGCTTGCCAGACGACCTCATTTCTTGAATAAACAAAGCTGATGCCCTTGCTGCTCCAAGTGTGGTCTGTGACCAGCAGCACAGGCGTCACCAGTTTTGTTACAAAAGAAGAATCCCAGTCCCCACCCCAGAAATGGACTCCGCATTTTAAAATGATGTCCAGTTTTGGAAGTTTGGGGTACACATTGAAATTTCAGGGACATGGGTCTATAGCCCTCTTCATTAGGGTCTGTTACATGCAGCTGAAAGCATTCCTAGTGGATAAGGTGTAAGTACTGGGTATGTAGGAGGATATGGTTCTCTGTGCGTGCATGTGTGCACGTGATGACACACAGGCACAATCACATGCACACACACTAATGCATATTTACCTACATCATTGTGTGTGCTTGTATGTACACGGATGTATATATGAATATATGAACAGAAAACCCCCGGGAGGACACAGCTAGGCTGTGGGCAAGGATGAGGCTATGTTGGGAAATTTGGGAGGGGTGATTTCTTCTTTTTATCTTCTACAGTATTTGAAAAAAACAACTCTGAAGCCCGTGAGTACATATTCCTTTCATAATTGAATAGGAAAAGAGACGCACTGGCTCTCCTCCCTGTCCAGCAGGGCATGGTAGGACGCCTCGGTCCTCTGCAGCTGGTTCCTGTGCGCCGATGCTGCCCCGCCTCTGCGCGTCCCTGAGCTCCGCCTCCAGCCTGCCCACCACCGCGCCCAGGCTCTGCAGCTCGAGGTCATGCCAGTGCTTGGCATCGTGCAAAGTGTTCTCCAGACCTTATTTCTGCAAAAGAGCACATGCTCTCCAAACCCAAGGCCGACAGGCAGGACCCTTGAGGGGGAGGTACAAAGCAGCTGGAGGGGCTGGCATTGGCCTGTCCTGTCCATTTCTCCAAGGACACTTACCTTGCCAGGCTTACGGGCTCTGAGGGGAAATCATGAATGCTTCAGCAGCCATTCTCTTGTTTAGTCTAATTCGTTGATTCTTCTGCTGGTGGGATGGGGTGGGGTGGGCATGGGGTCGGGGTGGAGAGGGTGGGGTGGGGGAGAAAGGCAGAGACAGGAGGAGGGGCAGGAGAGAGATGAGATGAAGTGAGAGAGAGCGGAGAGGCAGTTTGCAGGTGTTTCTTCAAAGCAATCTTGCTCTCGGAACTGCCTGGGGGTCTTTATACTGACGATTTCTCACTCCCTGGGGGGCACCGTCCACCTCCACTGCTGAAACCCCATCCATCATTCAGCTCAAGTCCTGCCTTCCCTAGAACGCCTTCCCAGATTACATAGTCAGAATGAATGTCTCTGGCCTTTATATACTCAGCAGTTTTTCCTTTAGTGTTTTAGTAACGGATCTTGGCTAAGTCCTCTTCTTCCCTGCTGCGCCTCCACTGCGGGTTCCCACCGCCCCATCCTCAGCCTGCTGTTCTCTGAGTTTGTCTCCTGGGCCTCCCGCTGGTTGGTCTCTAGGACACTTAGGATTTTAGTCGTCTCTGCCATGACCTCTGCATTGACACCTGAACCTCTTCCCCAAGTCACAGACCCACTGTGGACCTCTTATTGGAAATATATAGTCCCTGGGCACCTCAAATCAAGTGCCCCAAATGGAGCCACTGCCTTCCTTCCGAACCTGCTGATCCTTCTTATTCTGGGCTTCAGCTGGTGAACTCATGCGGGCTAGAAACTGGGGAAAGATCTGCCCCTGTTCTTCTTCCTCCAGAATTCAATCATCACTGAATTCTCCTCTCATACATTCTGAGAAGTTTTCACATGTGTCTCTCTCTCTCCCCCAGTCACCAGTGCTCAGGACTGGGTGCTTGTGCCTCTCCCTGAGGAACCTTTAGCTTGTCTTCTTGTCTCTAGTTCCTCCTCCTTGTGCTGTCCCCACATAGCAACCTGTGTGCTGTCTAAACACAAATCTGGGATTGTATCCCCTCTGCTTCGACACCATCCACAGCCCCCCAGGGCCCCTAGCATGCTACACATGACTGGCCCAGCATGTTTCCTTCTTGACCCACCCGCTCCTGCCACCACACACACAGCAGTCAGTGTCTCTAGTCTTTGCACTCACTGAGCTCTCATGATGTTTCTACACCCTCACCATCCTTCTCCATGCCATCCATCACCCTTACCTGGCTCACTGTTACTCATCCCCCTTGACATTCTCTAGCACTACGATCACCAGGCTCTGTCAGGGTTGGCCTCTGGGTTTCCATTGTGACCCAAACACCTACGTGCCCTTGAAACTTCCTTCTCCTTTTCCCATATACCACTCCCTGCAGTATAGGACTGACCAATAAACACCTTTAAAAATTGTGTCTCTCTGTCCTTAACATATTTTAATAGATGTCATTATGGTACACCTATAATTTAGTATCTGATACTTTTTTAAAATTTATTTTATTTTATTTTTTTAAAGATTTTTATTTATTTATTTATACAAGCACTGGGTACAGTCAGAAGCATGGGAGGGTGAGAGAATTCACCAGAGACAGAGAGTGGAACAGAACAGGCAAACTGATGAAACACACTGCTGAGGGGAGCAGCGAGCATGGCAGGAGAGGTCTGCGCGCCATGTGGGACCCTCACCGATGGCTGGGGATTGAACCAGCGCTGCAGAGGCTGCGGGTAGCTTCGCAGCCCAGCGCTCAACCGCTGCGCCACGGGGGAGGCCCTCAAATTTATTTTTTGCATAGAAGAACTAGGGTGTGGGCCAGAGGTGCGGGGAGTGAGAGGATTCACCAGAGACAGGGGAGCAGAACAGGCAGATTGACTGAAATACACTGCTGAGGGGAGCAGCAGGCCAGACAGGAGAGGTCTGCTGTGCCATGTGGGTCAGCAATCTGGCCAGGGATTGAACTCATGTTGCAGTGGCTGGCGATAACTTAATAGTGCTGAGACTTAACCCTCAGGCCACCAGGGAGGCCCCAGCATCTGACTTTTTATAAAGTATATAAGAAACAAATATTTTTACATTGAATTGAGCCAAATCATGATGAAATAGGTTTCTGGACCCTGTCTCTCATCAGGAGACTTTCACCCCCTTTAGAACACTGTGGCTGAAATGGAAGATTCTTGACCAAGATGCCATCTTGAATCATGGCTGTCGTTAAGCAGGGGTCACTATATTATCTTATTTAGAGCTTCTTAATTCTATAAGCTATGAGGATGTTGAGTCAGGTTCTCATCCTAAGATGTTCACTAGAAACTGAATCTGGTTCAGAGTTACTGTTTTATGGCAGTGAGGATATGGAATTGGCTACCTGGACTTCCATTTGTTCAAATTCCCTTTGTCAGGAAATTGCCTGGTTTGTGAGTGGTTGTTACGGATATTGAACCCATAGTACCTGTGATTTGGAAAAACGATTCACAGAGTCATGTTTGCATCCTCTGTCTACAGTTTTTGTTCCATGTTCAGCGATGACTCCTACATGTGTGCTGGAGTTTTTCTCTGATAACTCAGGAGCACTGCCCAGGGGTGTTCACAGGAACTTCCATCAGAGGTCCTATGACCCTTCAATCCCATTCTTGGAGCCCAAGTCCAGCTTCCCCACCTCAGACTCTGACAAGGGAAGCTTCTAGGAAGAGCTAAACATGACACCCTAATAGAACTTTTAGTCCATTCCAGAGAGCAGAGGGTGTTGATTTCTGTATTGTTAAAAAATATTTTAAGAAATAATGATAATTTATAATGCAAAGATCAACCTGCAAACTGCAGTGAGTCTGAGTTTACTAGGTGTTGACATCACTAGGGTGATTGTGATTGAAGCAGGGGCAAACCATATCAAAAGAATTGTCTCATACAAACTGGGCCACTGCCAACATTCCGAGAAGCCAGCAAGAACAAGAGCACCCTGTTTGAAAGTGAACTTTTACCTACTTTCACCTTGTGATCCCTCCACCTGATCATATGCTCATCCTCTATAGCCTCACCCTTGTTTTTCTCTCTGTAAGGACCCTCTGACCTTTATGCATCCTGGGCCCACATATTGGGAATCTAACCTGAGCTTGTGATCTTCCAACCAGTTCTCTGCTATTTCCACATAACCCAACTTTACCTTTTTAATGACCTGAATTTTTCAGATGAACTTTGTTTGGTTGAACATGAAGCAGAGATGCAGACAGGGAACCTATTACAGATAATTGCTCTCAGGATGGGGCAGAGGAAGGAACTAGGCCCAGAGGTGTTCTCCCCTAGAGTCTGGTTGCCCTTTATTCCACCAAGAGCTCCCAAGTGTGAGTTACATCATAAGACCTGTTTCACCAGGAAGCAAGTGGGCTGGACTTTTACACCCACCTGTAGTCATTGGCTGAGAGCTGGCAGACCTACCTTGTAGGCCAGGTGTCCTCTGTTTAGCTGAGGGAAAGTCTGGATAGGAGCTGAAAAGGGGTGCCTGTAGGCCCTAGCTGCTACATTCACAGCAGCAGCAGCCTGGGAAGGGGATTTTGATGGGGGCACTAATGCCTCCACTATACTTGTGATTTGGTATTAGTGACCCTTTCAGGCCTCAAAAACCACATGCTGTGAAATGGGAATCTCTTGGAAACTATACCTCAGAAGATGACAGTTTGACCATTGAGAGTTAACAAAAATGTAAGAAATGCCAGGGGTCTTCCTGGCCCACTCACCAGAGCCTGCCAGGATTCCGTCTCAGCTCCAAGGCTCTGGACTTGGCACCAGGTACTGTGTACCAGAGGACAGCAGTCAGCGTGTGCTCCTGGGTCTGGTCTGTGGGTGTAGGGTAAAAGGTTTTCAGGCTTTTCTGCCCTCCCACCATTAGGATTGCCCTGCCTGATGGGGCAACTGCTGTTGTTACATTGTTTTGTTGTTCACTTCTGTGGGCAGTGGGAGGGGTATTGAGATGGTCACCAAGAGAAGCAGAAGCTGGAGAGAGGCAGGAGAGAGAAGGGGAGAAAGAAAGCCAGAAGAGAGAGAGAGAGAGAGAGAGAGAGAGAGAGAGAGAGAGAGAGAGAGAGAGAGAGAGAGAAGCCCAGAGTGAAGACTTGCTGGGGGCTTGGAGGCCTACTGGCCCCCTGACACCCCTGCCTGCCATGTACCTGGTTGCTGCAATGCATGTAAAGCTCAATAAAAGCCTTAGAAAGCCACAGAGTGCTCCAGGACTCTCCTTTACCCGGTCTGCTCTGCTCAGATCATAGACATTTTGCTCAATGGCCCTTCCTCCCTTACCGTGGGCGACTTCCGCCTCTTGTTGTAGAGAGTCAGGTCTCTTGTGAGCCAGCAGAAGGGGAGAACTCAGCCCTTCTCTCACTTGCCCTTTCCAGGGTCTCTTCCACAGCCTCTAACTCAGCGGAAGCATCTGTCACGTTGAAATTCCCTTTTCCAGGCACCCTCACCAACTTGTATGCATTCACTTAGTTTGAACATATAATGCATGCAAATAGAATACAATGCAAAAGATTTGTCTAAGGGATCCATAAGACCCATCCTTGGGTCTTAATTACTCAGGTCTCCTGTTTCCATTTTCTTATACTTCCAGCCAGAAATTTTCATAAATGTATAAATATGTATAACCACCCCCCTCTTGCTTTGGTACTTAATATAGCTTAGGCATCATTTTATATCAATGTGTAAATCAATTGCATTATTTTCAGAGCTGCATAATATTTCCTTGTTTGGAAATCCTATAATTATTTACAAATTCCCCACTGGTGAAACAACTTCGGTTGTGTCACTCTTTGCCTCTCACAATCGTGAAAAGCATAATCTGCACCTCTCACTACACACGCAAATGTCTTTGAGGGGAAACTTCCTGACTGGAACTGCTAAGTGAGAAGGGCACATGTTCGCAATTTTGATGAATGTTGCCAGGTTGATGTTCAGAGAACCTGTAACCCCTCCTGGCACTGAATTGGTGCCAACCCCCACCTCTTGCCCAAGTAAGCAGTTGGCCAACTGGATCTGATAGTCCCTGTTTCCTTGTAAAAACCAGCCTGGCCACTATTGGGAATACAAGGGGAAGGTCTTCTCCCTGAGCAAGTGTATATATTCTGATTCCTCCCCTTATATTCTGGGGAGCAGGTGTTTGTTATTCCTATTTGCTGGGGAAAAGGGAAAAAATGGGAGTTCACCCTCAGTCTTCAATGCCGTCTGAGGAAATGTCTCCTGACTGGATGTAGGAGAAAAAACCTACTTTCTCTTCTAGGTTACTGGTTTTCTGGAATTACCATGTGTCCCACACATGAATACTTATTTATAAATTGTGCAAAAATAGTGCCATCTAATTAATGGGCTAAGAAATCCCTAGTCAGAAGGCTCGTATCTCAGTAATTTGCTCAATTCTTGCTGTTTGAGGGCTGTGAAGAGTTCAGCAAAAATGTCACAAAGGCTCGGGAGCAGCTGAGGGAGAAAAGAGGCCATGGCCTTGCTCTGACTTGTGGGCCATTGGCATGAGACTCTGGGCCAGCCTTGGGCCTTTTTAGTGGCAAGTCTGCAGGCTGGCAAGGCAGGGGGCGGGGTGGGGGTGGGTGGTAGGCAGGCAGGCAAGCTTCCCAGCCCCCCATGAATATTTTATGCTCTTTCCTCTAGGCTTTCTCTAGTGTTCTCCCGTGGTGTCGCCTCTTCTATTGTCACGCCTCTGTAGCCATCCTCCCGAAGCTGTCCCTGAGTGATGCTGCCCTTAGAGCCTCAGCCTCCAGGCTCAGGTGTGCCCACTTATTCATGCCCACACCATGCTCCAGGTGTCCACAATCAGGCACATGTGCCCTGTGCCCGCACTCCCAAACCCCTTCTGCATTCAAGGCCTCAGGTGATAGCCACAGAGGTTAGTGGTATAAAAAGCCTGATTAATTCCATTTACCCTACAGCCTTGCAGAGCCCGGCCCTGCTCACAGAACACAGATGACTATGAGTGGAGAATGACCCCATGAGGATTCTCTCCTGGAGTCACTGTGAGTCTCCCATGAGGTTATGCATGTGGATGCATGCATATATTGACTATATTTTCCGTATGTAAAAATTAATAATAGCTAAAAAATGACTTTGTAAAAACCACTATGAGTTGTCTGCTGCTATTCTGTGTTGGTGACTGTTAACAACTTTATGTCCATTACATTGAATTTTGACATCCAATGAAGCAGGAGTCCTTTTATTCCTATTTTACATGAGGAAACTGAGGTGCAGAAAAAACTGAGTTTTTACTCAAAATTGTAAGGGCCATAAGGGCAGAGCTGAGACTCAAGTCAAGTAGCAGACACAGAGCAGAGCTCCTGACTGGTAATTACTGATGCTGCTTCCACCAATTCATCAACTTAAGATTCCCCAAATTGAAGTTCCCTTTGGCAAAGTGATGGTGATCATTCTAAAATGTCCTCAATGCCAAGTTTTCCTGTGATCAGTAGCCCTGGTTTTCTTCCTCTCTTTCTGGCTGGGACCTGGTCCCAGGCGCTGTGTGGGTGGGAAGCAGGAGACGGGGCATCCTGGCCGGCAAGTGGAGCCAGGCAATGTAGCTACACAGAATGACCAGGGCGTTCCCTATGAACTGGAGCCGGCTCTTAAGGGTTCAAATGAGTTAATCTTCAAATTTTCAGAAATTTTTTAAACCAGTTGTTAAACATGGCCACCATTAACAAATAAATGACCTCAACTTACAATTAAATAAGTTATGCTAAAATGGTAATTAATTCAGCAGACAAATGAATTAAAAATTGTGGAATATATACTCAATGGCATACTACACAGTTGTGCAAAAAGATGAAATTTGGGGCAAAATGGATAAATCTCAAGGTGATTTTGTTAATTGCATTAAGTCAAAAAGTGAAAGATATTGGATGGTTTAACTTTTCTGTGAGCTATAAGATTCATACACAGCAGGAATAAATCTTGTTGAAAGAATATAATGGGTACTAGAGGGAAGGGGAGGGAGGGAGGCAGGTGGGGTATTGGCACAGGTGGTTGGTGGAGGGTGAGTGGATCATGTGCACATATGGAACAGCAAAATTGTAACCCCCAAAATTTAAAAAAAAGGCAATAAATATTAAAACAATCATTTGCTAATTATTTTACATTTTATCACTATCTATGTCATTGAGGTTATTTACATTGATGATACCTGTGTGGAGGAAATAACATATAATGGTGTGTTCAGTGCACCTCTTTACAATTCTGTGCTCCTTTACAGCAAGTTAGTATTTTAAAAATCAATCCTAGGGAGAGTATTTACACTATGAAAATTGGCAAGTGCTACAAGTCAGGGATTGAGTTACTGTTTTGTTGATTGTCAAGACAGGGATGCAGAAAATGTCAATGCAGATTAAACTTAAAAGTGAGTTATGTCAGTAGCTGTGACATTGTGAATAGCACAAAAATTAAAGGGAATATTCTTCCAATATTTCAAAACTATTATCTGATTTGATAGAAGTTTTATCATTGGTGAGTGAATTCAGTAAGGTCAATGAAAATATAAGTCAAAATTCATATTAGTTAGCTGCATTAATCATCAATGTGAGTAACTTTGTTTAATCAGGTATTAATGAAATTTTCTTTGTAGTTTGATTTTTGTGACACTATGGTTGATATTATAAAAATGATTGTCAGATTTTGCAAGTAATAGCAAATCACACTGAAGTTATAGGTGCAAATGAAAAAAAAAATTACCCTAAAATGTATGTTATTTCTAAAATTATGAAAAAATAAAACATCAACAGAATCTTCTAGTTACCTTTAAGCAGTGTTGTGAATCTGACCGGCACATATATACAGATGCTGACATTTCAAGCACCGGGCATGAAATGAAGCCAAATTCCCAGGAGAGCAAATATCAAAGCCTTGGTGGGGAGTGTGGGTGAAGCTGCTGGAGAAGGCTATGCCACGGTCCCTCACATGCTCTGTCCTTCCTTTCAACCCAGACCATGAGTGACTTGTATGTAGTGCTACATACTTGTCTCTGGAGGGGTGAATCCTCGTGTCTCAGTTTGTGCTACTCGTGCAAGTCAATGCCACACTAGACTGTAGGTATCTGGCGTGCAGGGACGACTTACTTACCCCTCTATCCCCCACAGGGACCAGGGCTTTTTACTCCTAGGATGGCTTAATAACACTTATTGAAGGTCTACAAAATGTACCAGGCACTTTGTAGTGACTGGGGACTACAGAAGAGGAGGATCTACCAATAATGGAATTAAATCAAACCTCCTTTTCATTAGGAGGATTAGCTGCAATACTATAATGATTATAAGTTACTTCACAGTCATGTGCCATCAGCTGAATGTTATTAAGCTAAAGATGATTTTCGATAGCAGCACACACAACCCTGACCCACCCCAGCCAGAGGTACGATTGATTTGGGTGGAGGCTGGATGCCTGACTGGTTCTTAATAGGAATGAAAAAAAAGTGCATGTCTCACTGGAGGAAACTTCAACATTGGCAGGAGAGTTGGCCTGGCCCTGACTAGGCTAAGCCAAGTTTCTTCTTGAATTTATACAAGAACCTCCTGGCTGTTGAAGCTGCTCTATTTGGAATTTAGGACCAAGTCCCAGCCTCAGTTAAAGCTGCCAAAAGAAACACAGAGGAACAAATGGCTTTGAGGTCTTGACCTCCCCTGCCCTCTTGGTCAGAAGTAAGCACACCTCACTGATGAAATCAGCAGATGAGGTGCTGCAATGAGAGTAACTTGCAAGAGAATAATACATTCTTCTTACTGAAGGTAACTATGGGGGAACTCTAAATGGTAGTATTAACTCTGGCTCATTGAGATCATCTCATTCCTAAGAAGCAGGATCTCCTCTGCTGTGTCCCTGTTAGCAGACTAGAAAGTATTAAATACAAATCTCACCACTTTACTTTTTCAAGGTTTGTTTTATCCGAGCAAATCTCTTATTTTGGAAATTGAGAAAGCACTTTTATTTTCTATGGAAAAGGACTATTATTAAAAATGATCTAAGATAGCCTTGAGATCAACAGATTCAGGTGGCCAGGGATGGGCATTTACTAGAGCAATGGGCTTTGTGTCTTCAGCCTCCAGTGCAGGGCCTGCCACCTGCTTTGTGCTGGGCAGATGGAGAGATGATCCTTGGATAGAAGGTGTGAGTGGGAGGCTGCAGTCACCCAAATTAATCTCATAGAAAAGGACAAGGTGGCTGGGATGGGTTGGGTGACATTTCTCCTTATAAATGGTGCATTGTTTTGTATCTTTTGCATTTTGAACCAAGTGAAGGTATCATCTACTTAGATCTACATGGCCATCTGCATAGATGAAAGTACAAAAGAGGAGACCCTTTTGCAAAGCTGACTCTGTGACATCCATTAAGGTATAGAAATATTGGGTGACCCCCCCTTCCCTTTACCGCCCATCAGAGATTATAACCAATCCTCAACACAGGGGAACCCCTAGATTACTGAATGCTCTCAGGGGTTCTATCTCCTTAAAATTAATTATCCTATTGGCTATGAAGACAAAAGCACATTAGGGACTCTTGCAGGCTAGAGCCAGTGCACCTCAGTCCCATCTTAATCCAATTTCATATCTCCTAGAAAATATTGACTCTCTTTTAGTGTAGCATAGCTGGCTGTATAAAATATTTATCCTTGCAGGGAAAATTATTTTTTGCAAAAATGGAGTCACAGAGTCATGCTGTCTGAGCTTTCTAGTCTCCTCACAGTTACATCTAGACCTATGCTGTCCAAGATGGTAGCCACTAGTTACATGTAACGATTTTTAAAACATTTAAAAAATTAAATAAAATTTAAAATCCACTTGTTCAGTTGTCTTATTCACATCTGAAGGGCTCAGTTACCACATGTGGTCAGGGGCTGCCATACTGGATTGCTGCACAGATTAAAATACTTCCATCACTGCAGAAACTTCCACTAGTGGACACTGCTCTAGACAATCTCTAATGTTTCTTTCATTAGAAATTTATTGATATTCTAAGAATATCAATAAACGGAAACCTCACAATTCATCTCCATCTGTTCACCTGTCTTCATTCTTAAGTCTGCA